ACCCTCTCCATATCCTCTCTCTACCGCCTCACCATCTTATCTGCTCGCCTCCTACTGTTGCCCATTGTCTTTGCCACTATTCCATCGCCTATAGCCGTCTCCTACATCATTTATCATTGCTCTATTGTCTTATACAACACCCATCATGTCTGACTCTGATCCCAAGTTCCATCCCTTGTCTGGCACTAACTACCCCCAGTGGAGTGGTGAAATGCAAGCTTGGTTGATGACCAAGGGACTGTGGAGGCTCGTCTCTGGCGCTGAAAAGTGTCCTGGGACTGACGCTGAAGCAATAGAGAAATGGGAGTTGAGAGCTGAAAAGGCTGCTGGTGCATTATATCTCAATGTCACCAAAGAGCAGCGCATCCATCTTGATGGCATCATTGATGATCCTGTCAAGATCTGGGAGAAACTGGCAATTGTGCACGTCTCTAAGAAGCCTGGGACGAGATTTAATGCCTATGACGACTTCTTCTCTATCAGAAAGAAGGAGGACGAGTCCCTGCAGTCTCTCATGACCAGAATTGACGAAGGCATGCATCAGATTCAAAATCTTCGTCCTACTGGCTTCTCATTGTCTGAATTAGACGATGAATTGACATGCATGGCCATGATTAGGGCACTTCCTGATCAATATGCCCACTTCACTTCATCTCTACTACTTCTGGGCACCTTGGACAAGACCCAGCTCAGGGATGCTTTCCTTGCTGAAGAGGTCAATTGCCGTCGTCGTGCTGAAGTCAATTCTGCCTTGCATTCTTCGTCTACCACTGCCAATAGCACCTGCACCCATCCTAACTGCCATCATTGCAACCAATCCACCACCTCTACTCGCGTTCAGTGTGATTTCTGTGGTTTACTTGGTCATACCCAAGACAAATGCCACAGATACATTGCTAGTCACCAACAGGCAGTGGAAGGTGCTAAGAATCGCTACAAGCGTGGCAATAAGGCTCAGGCAGGCTCCAACAACTCTCAGAATACCTCTCAGCAGCCCAAATCTTCGCCCAACAATGCCAATTCATCTACTGTGGTCACTGAATCAGCTGGGAATGCAAGTCTTCGTTCCATTCATCCCTCTGATCCTCATTTCCCTCTCCAACTTGATGCTGACATTGATTGGAATGCAGACACAGGCGCCACTTCTCATATGACACCTCATCGTCATTGGATGCACCACTATACCCCATATCGTGTGCCAATCAAGCTGGCTGATCACACTGTTGTCTATTCAGCTGGTGTTGGTACTGTGGTGTTTAATCCTGTGATGAATGGCAAAGTGGCTAGGGCTGTGGAATTCTCTAGAGTGCTCCATGTACCAGATCTTCGAAATAATCTCCTCTCAGTCTTGTATTTAACTCGTCAAAGTGGTTTCAATGTCACTATTTCATCTCATTCCATGTCCTTTATGCGTGACAACACTCTCTTGTTCACTGCAACTATCAATGACAACAATGCAGCATTCCTTGATGGATCTACTGCTGCTTGTGTTGAATTGGGACATTTTACTGCGACTATACCACTTGATTTGATGCTCTGGCATCGCAGATTGGCTCACCACCATCATGCTGATGTCAAGAGACTGATACAGAGAGATCTGGTCACTGGGCTTACACTGGAATCCAAGGCTGCTCCTGATCCTGTCTGTGAACCGTGCTTGTCTGGCAAGATGCATGCCAATCCATTCCCCTCATCTGATACTTGCTCTGCTCATCCTTTGGACCTCATCCATTTTGATGTACACCAAGTCTCTTCCCCCACATTCTCTGGTTATCGCTACTGGGTCACCTTCATTGACGATCACAGTCAATTCCGTGTTGTTGTGCCTCTCAAGGCCAAGTCAGATGTCTTTGATGCTTTCAAGAGATTCAAGGCTTATGCTGAGACTCAATTGGAGCGTAAAATCAAGGCTCTGCGCGATGACAAAGGGGGAGAGTACATGTCCAAGGAATTTGAGCAATTCACAGATGACCATGGGATTGTCAGACAGCATACCACCAGGAATCGTCCTCAGCAGAATGGTGTGGCAGAGCGAGCAAACAGACTTCTGACTGAGCGTATCACTGCCATGTTATCAGAGTCTGCATTGCCTAACAGCTTCTGGGGTGAATGTCTGTCCGCTTTGGTGCATGTCTGGAACAGGTGTCCCACTGATGCAGTGGCCCATGCCACTCCATTTGAGTTGTGGTATGGACGCAAGCCTGACATGTCTCACCTTCGCATTTGGGGCTGCACTGCCTATGTGCATGTGCAAAAGGACAAAAGAGGCGTCTTTGGCTCTCATATGGAGAAATGTGTGTTCATTGGTTACCCTGAGGGATACAAGGGATGGAAATTCTACAATCCTACCACCAAGCACACTGTTATCTCTGAGAGAGCTGATTTTGATGAGCGCTACTTCCCTGGCTTGAAGAGGTCTTCTGACAATGTCCCGCCTCCACCTCCCACTCCACCTTTGCTATCCATGCCATTGGGCCTGATTGAGGATGTCCCTGCACCAGGTCCAGGGGGAGATATGGGCCCACCAGCTGCACTTCAGCAGCCTCAGCCATTGCCTGACAATGGGCCTCATTTGGACCTTGATGCAAAACCACCTGTGAATCAACCTCCTGAGCTTCCAAATCACCCTCCTCATCGCTCACCTTCTCCTGACTTGCCTATTGCACTAAGACGCCCTGTAAGGGCTAGGAGACCACCTAGACCATGGTGGCTTCAACACAGACAACCTACTCCTGCCATTGAGAGTGATGACAGTGATTCTGAGGCAGTTGATGATGAAGTAGCACACTTTGGAGACTCTGCTGAGCCTAGGTCATTTGCAGATGCAATGAAGCGTCCTGATGCAGATAAATGGAGAGAGGCAGCCATGGAAGAGCTTCAAGATCATGAGCGCAATGGTACTTGGTCACTAGTGGAACTACCTCCTGGAGTCAAGGCTATTGGTGGCAAGTGGGTCTTCAAGATCAAGCGCAACTCAGATGGCACCGTTGAGCGCTACAAGGCCAGATATGTGGCCAAAGGTTATAACCAGCGCCCTGGCTTTGATTTCCTCGAAATATTTGCACCTACTGTCCGCATATCATCCATCAGAGTTGTCCTTGCCGTTGCAGCCATCCACAACCTCCATTTGTGCTCCATTGACATTTCCCATGCATTCCTGAATGGAGTCATGGATGTCAAGGTCTACATGCATCAGCCAGAGGGATTCCATCAGGGTCCTCGCAATCTTGTTTGCCAGTTGGACAAGGCCATCTATGGGACAAAGCAGGGAGGCAGAATGTGGAACCAGAAGATGCACACTGTGCTTGAAAAACTCGGATTAAAGCGTACTTATTCAGACTCTGCCATCTATGTCTTTAACAGAGCTGATGTGCGCATTATCCTGCCTGTCTTTGTTGATGACATGACACTGGCATCCACTTCTACTTCTGCACTTGACCAAGCTGTCAAGGACCTCTCCCTGCACTTTAAGCTTCGTGATCTTGGCCCTACTTCTTACCTACTTGGCATTTCCATCACTAGAGACCTAAGTAATTGCACCATCTCCCTCTCCCAACATCAGTACACTCTGGACATTCTGGAGCGCTTTGGCATGAAGGACTGCAAGCCTGTGTCCACTCCCATGGATCCTGGTTTGCGCCTCACTAAGGACATGTCTCCTAAAACATCCAGTGATGCTGCTTTGATGAAGGACATTCCCTACCTTGCTGCTGTTGGTGCTCTGATGTATCTGGCCACTACCACTCGTCCTGACATTGCCTACACTGTTGGAGTCCTTGCCAGATATAACTCTAATCCTGGTCTTACTCACTGGAGCGCTGTCAAGCACTTGTTCCGCTACTTGCAAGGCACCCTTGATCATTCCCTTGTCCTTGGTCCTAATCCCAATTCCACTGAACTCTTCACCACTTTCTCTGATGCTGATCATGGTGGTGACAAGGACTCTGGTCATTCTACTGGTGCCTATATTGTCAAGATGGGATCTGGTGCTGTCTCCTGGAGCTCCAAGCTTCAGAACATTGTTGCTCTGTCCACCACTGAAGCAGAATATATTGCTGCTGTTGAGGCTGGCAAAGAGATTTGCTGGATGCGAAATTTGTTGAAGGAAATGGGCTATCCTATCACCTCTCCTTCCACCCTTCATATTGACAACCAATCTGCCATCTCTGTATCCAAGAACCCTGAGCACCATGGTCGGATGAAACACCTTGATCTGCGATGGCATTGGTTGAGAGATGTTGTTGACTCTGGGCAGATTGCTCCTACCTTTGTTCCCACTGCTGAAATGCCTGCAGACTTGTTGACCAAGGCTCTTGCCAAGCCTAAAGTGGAAGTGTTCAGGAAGATGATGGGACTTAATAGATCAGGGGGGAGCTGATGCTTGGGAGGTGCAGCATCAGGGGGGAGTGTTAGTTTTGGTGATTCTGCACCTTTGTGCTACCTATATATTTTCATTCCTTTCTCTATCTATTCTTCTATCATTCACTATTGATTGTGTTCTCTATTATTTCGCCTTTGTGGCTGCTTTGTTTACCTTTGTTTACAAAACTTCGGACAGTATTGCAGAGTCCAATGCTTCCTATTCTCTAGTTACTCACATTGGACTCTAGGTACTGTATACCTGTCATACTCTCTAATAATACAGTTACTCACATTGGACTCTAGTTCCAGTCCCTGATTGCTCTCAGCAAGTGGCTAGACACTTCCTTCAAGCTTTGTTCTTAATACATAAATCTATCAATGTACTCCGGTACAATTTGTATTGTTCGTAGGCATCCTATCTGTCTATGATGCAGCGATATGGCTTCTGAGCCACTTGGTGGGTGCAAAATACCATCCATGCTTGGCAACGGTGAAGACACTTTTACAACATTTTTATTCCTTGCGTGCAAGTCTATTACAGTGCATAGTTTATCTGTCCCTGGCTTCCTGATTAAAAGCATAGGCACTGTATTACCTTGGCTAGTAACTTGCCATCTTCCTGATCCCAAATAGACTGCTCATTTCTCTGACCATTTAGCCCGTAATGGTTCTAAACAACGGAATGGTCGCCAAGCGTAGATTTTTGTTTCATCAATGAGAGGTATTGTATGATTGATATCTCGTAGAGGAGGCAATCCAGTTTCACTGGCTTTTGCACAAAGTGGCTGTGTGTATTGTCTCAACTGTGTTCTAACTTTCTCTAGATGGTCCTCAAATATTCCAGCTGCATGTGACTCTAGATGAGAGCATTCATTGCCTTTCATTGCACTACCAATTACATCCAGCAAGGGTTGAGTCCAATTAGCACCTGGTGTTGGAACAGGAGTGGAATTCCTAGTATTAGGTCGTATATTTGGAGGTTTATGATATAAAAATACTGTTCCTCTCTTATGTTTTGATATTCCAAGCTGACTTGCATCCCAAAGCTAACATTTGAGTGGCATCCTTGAACTGCCAATTGAATGGGTAGAGGCTTAGCAAGTTTTGACAGAGGGTCTTTCAACTGAGCGGCCAGAGTCGACAATATGAAATCTGCTCAAGATCCAGAATCAACTAGAGCCCGTACTGGTTGTTGATTTACCAGGACTGTGACCAGTATTGGTTGGGGTAATGTCCTTTTGTAGTCTTTGATTATTGCTGTGTTACATTCTAATGCACGGTATGTTCCTGAGGGGATCTGCTAACCATGGAGTTCTATTGCAACAGCTTGAGATCCTACTTCCTCAAATTGGGCATCAGGATAATGTCTAGTCAAGTCTGCCACCATTTCAAGGATGGCACTGTTTTTGGGACTGTAGGGCTCTTGGTACAGCCAGTCTAAAACTGCTGTCTCATCTGCTCCAGTAAGAAGCTTGTTGCACAAATTCTGAAGACTGCGCTCAGCAGTTCTATTGTACCAGTTTACAATATCGAATTTGGTGTTAAACAACTGGGACCGCAATATCCAGGTCTGAAAAAGTAAGTTTTTATCATTAATAATGTACCAGGAAGGAATCTCATCGACAATTTGAGTGCTTAGAGTGAATCTGTCCATCTGAAGGACATAGTTCATATTGCCTGTGAAGTACAAAGCTCATTCATTCAGAAAGCAAGTGACCCAACTTTCCAGCAGGTCACACATCCACATGAGGGTGCTTGGAAAGAAGGCATAGTTTTGCCATTCCCATTTTGTCCATTCAAGGTGTTTGGCACTTTGTTTGATATACCATCAGACCAGGTCAAATAACGGGTTCAACAAGCTAGTGGGAATTCTTACCCAGTCGGTTACAGGCCAATACTTGTCCATAATGACATATTCAGTATCTGAGACTCGTTCAGTTGAAGTGCCCACCTGAGTAAGGCCCTTCCCAGTCTGTTGTTGAATCACCAGGATAGGGAGTCCCCCTGTTGAGCAAAGAGGAAATTGCATACAGGAAGGGATCTTCCATGGCACTTTGTGCATTGTTCTATTCCCCATCATGGTCAACTAATAACATCCCTAGTTGTACAGCTTCCAATGTTTCACTTGTTTTTGTGGCCATCCTCAAATCCTTTGGGTTTATTACATCTACTGTTTCTATAGTGCCACCAAAGGCCGGAACCCCTGGGGGTCTGTCTTTTATATTTGAGGTGATGTATCTGTTTTCTGGACAGTTTCAACTGAAGTGCTTTGGTGACTGGTAGATAAAACACAGTCCTTTGCTTTTCATTTTGTCTTGTTCCTTTGGAGTCAACTTTTTTTATAGTTTTTCTTTGCACCAGTGGTTGGGGATAGCTACGTGTTTTTTCTATTTCAAGGTCCTACTTCCTCAAACCGACTTTGTTGGTGAGCCGGGTTCCTGACTTTGGAATTATTCATCTGACCCATTTGGCCAGAAGAGTTTCCAAAACTCTGAGTCTCACTAACTTTATCTTTCCTTGCTTTTTGGTTGGCCCTATAAGCACCTGCTTCACCCGCCGCATTGGCAATTTCCAGTAGTTCTGCCTTGAATTTTGGCCAAAGACAACATTTCCGAATGCAATTCTTTGGTCCAGAGCCCCTTTTGCAGGTCACCATTCAAGCCAGTCCATAACCAGATCACCTTTGAATTGAAAAGGGTATTTGGTTATTATCAGTACTTGGTATAGCCTTCTTTTGCCCTAAACACTGCCTGAATCTTTCTAGGCATACTTTCAATTAATTTCTGACACTCCTTAACTGGTATCTTCTCCTACTCCACTTAAGTCCTTTCCCACAATTCATGAATCATATTGGGGGGGTTTTTTATACCCTGCAAGCCTCTTCTTGAGATATCCAGAAGGATTTAGGTCAGGAGACTGTGAAGGCAAACCATAGTGTTGAATGCTTGTTCCTCTAGCCAGTCCTTGACCTTCCTGCAGGTATGCTTGGGGTCATTATCCTGCTGAAAGATACTTTTAGAAGGATTGAGAATATAATACTCTAGGGTTTTCTGGAGCTTATCCTTAAAAAATTGAAGGTAAAGGTCCCCATCTATCCTACCATCAATCTTGGTAGCAAATCCAACTGCTTTCCAAGTCATACAGCATCACATCATTAAGGAACCTCCTCCAAACTTCAGGGTTCCATCTACCGGTCTATCACTATGCCCCTTACCTGCCCTTTTCCATGTCCATTTGTGTCTATCTGACCCTAGAAGATTGATTTTAGTCTCAACATATTATATTACTCTTTTCCAGTCCTCCAGAGTCCAATCCTTGTGAGCATAGGCAAAATCCAAACAAGCTTTGTGATGCCTAATAGGGAGAAGAGGGTGTTTGGACTTCACCACATCCTTCATACTAGATTTCTTCAAATGAAGACAAACAGTATTGGATGAAAGGGGCTGGTTGATGATGCTGGTAAGGGCTTTGGTCACTTTAACAGATTTTCAGCTTTGCCAGAGGTAATAAAATGTTGAGCATGTCAGATATTGGTAGGTGAAAGCTTGGAAGGATGACCTCTAATAGCTTTAGGCAGGGTAGAACACTCTTTGGAGTGAAGTTTGGATATAGTAAACAGGATAACACCAGTCTGCTTGGCAATGGCTTCACCAGAGTAGCCAGCATCAAGCAATAAAATGATAGAGCTTTTTTAAGTAAAAGGGAGAGATTTGACCATGATGGTGGTTGAGAATCAGAAGTGTGTGAACTATTTTAAGCTCAGACATACTATTTGTATATATATCTTTGTTTGTACCGACACATAATGGCAAATATTCAATGTTTTAACTAAGGTTCTAGTCATTAATTCAAAAGTGAAAAAACCCTTTCCATGGTGTTTCTGTTTTAAATCAGCCATATCTCTATAGTGTGTGAACCAAATCACGTGACATATGGGGCAATTTTATAGCCAAGAGTATGTACTATTTATAACACCACCAAAGCTAAGTGCAATTCTCAAACTATTTGATGGTACACTTCATGTATGACACCCAGAGTCAACATGGAAAGGGTTCTTGGAGTCGTTGTAATCTAAAGTTTACAGGGAAGCAGTGATTAAACATCCCCACCAAAAATCTCTGAAAGTCCCATTTGAACGGATTATCAGCCACTTCTTGCACATAAAACTCAAACACTTTGCTTTTTAGGAACACAGAAAGACGGTAGACTCTATTAGCCCGGGGTACTTGGCCTTCTTTAACATATGCAGTTGCAGCAGTCACAAACCAATGGAATTCTCTTGAGTCAGGATGTCCGTCATATGGAGAGGGCTCTGTGGGTTTCAAGATCTGCCTCTTGGGTTTTTTTTTATGTGTTCGCTGGCACTTCCTATTTTTAACTCCTAATGATAAGTCTGAGAACCTGTTTTTTGAGTGCCAGCCGCTCAACTCAGAACTTGAGCTTGAGTCTGATCCACTTGACGGGTCATCAGAATCTGAGGGGCCTGTTTGTTTCTGGAGTCAGTGTAATGATCTTCCAATGTAGCTTCCAGCAGGGATTTGATTAATAGGGTTCAATGTGTGAGGCATCCTTGGCTTTGCAAGTCCTTTCTGAGGATGGATCATTTTGTTGATCATTGATTCCATGGGGTTGTGGTTTTCCAATATAGGTACAGATAGTCTTACTTGTCCATATTGCTTTTCTCTTTTTTCAATTGAATGTTCAGCTTTTTAAGCTGCCAACGTTTTCCTTTCACTTGAGTATCATAGGATTCTGCTATATCTTCATCCCTGGGTACTCTTATATTATTGGTTGTTCTGACATTTGTTTTCCTAGCAGACGGTCTGTGATTATCTTGGTGAGCCCATTATTGTGCTTTCTTCCACGTATTCAGTGCTGACCGTTGTTCTGCAATGTCAATCCCAGATTCAGCCAGAATTTTGGTTTCTTTTCCTTTGCACTTGAAGGCCATTTGTCCCAATCAGAGCCATCCTCAGGGTCTAATTCAGTCTGATCACACCGCCTTTTGAGGATGGCAAGAAGTTGTTCTTCAGTGAGTAGATGTTCCGCTTGTTTAACCAATCTGTCTTGGTCAACGCTTAAAACTGATTCATGCCTGCGTCCAGGCATCAGTCGAGACAATTTTGTCATATGGGGGGGGTATATTTTGTTCATTGCTTCAACTACTGACAGGAGTCTGATATAATAGCTCTACCATATAATAGCTCTACCACCTCCTGGTCATCTCTTGGATGAATGGAGGGAGGGCCAGGCATTGTTATATGAAAAAAGATGTAACAGTCACACAGAACATTACACATAGTAGACACAGCAAGCATAACCAACTTTTGTCATACTCATAATTGATGGAAAAGTCTGAAAGTAGCTGAAATATTTGATTGCATTTTGGACCTACAAAATGATGTCTTTTTGTTGACACCCCATAAATACTATATTTTTGTGTGGATACGTAGAAATATGTTAACAAAAATACATTATTCTGATAAAGTCTTGTAGGTCCAAAATGCAATTAAACATTTTAACTACTTTCAGACTTTTTCATTGATTTTGGGTGTGACAAAAGTTGGTTATGCTTGCTGTGAGAAGGGAAGATGAGAGATCTTTGATATGCGCTAACAAAGATTGACCAAAATGTGAGACAAATATGTAATGTAGAAGTTGTAAGCTATATTATGTTATGTGTGTGGTATTACTGTATTATGGGTGAGGGCTACAGCCCCCAGAACCGTGAATCTGGGGAAAAGAAAGTGAGCTGTGAACCCTCTCATGGTAGGAGGAAGATGTCAACACAAGCAGCAAAGATGGTTTCCCTGTGACAACACCAACAAGACACAGTCTTGGGGCACTGGAGCACAATGAAAACAACACTCAAAAGAAGAGGAAGAGGTGGAAGTGGTTACCCATTAGGATTCAACAAGTTAGTTGTTGGTAGACAACAGGAGGACTCGCTGAGTCCTTCCCCATGTATTGCTCCTGTATATATACTAAAATACATGAGGTACTGTACAGTTGTAAATAGAGTTTAAAGTCCAATGTCTAGCATGTGACCGGTCACATGCCAAGTCTAGACACTGGTCAGGTGTTGTGTCACATCACTTGGTCATGTGACTATGAAAAGTTGAAAATGTAAAATAAAGTAAATGGTCACATCAATTGTAACATTCCCTGGGGCTAGGAGAATATGTAATGATTTTGATGACTTACTAATTCATTATCTTATTGGTGGAAGGTCCACCGTATGTCTGATGAGGGCTGTGTGTTTCAGGTGTCGCTTGCATGTAAGGCACTAGTATTTGTGCATGCTTCCGTAAATATGCTGTGAATGTATCGCTGGCCCAGTGGTGTTTGACCCTCATAACTGCAAAGGGAACACCATGTAGCAGGTATTCCAGTGTGGCCCCTATGCAGATGCCATGGCCAGGTAGTGGTTCAATACCCACTGCACACATGGCCTTGTTGATGGTGGTTATGAATGTGGAGCGAGTGAGGGGATGAAAGCCAGAAGTTTGACCTTTTGATTGTTGATAAGAGAAGATGTGAGCGTCTGGTGGGGGTTTGTTGTCTTGGATATGTAGACTCTAAGCCGCTGCGGGATCAGCGGGGCCACTTTGTGTGGACCAAGATACTTCTTTGCCAATGGGTGAAGATTTTGTTTGTGGTATTTTAAACACTGTGGACTCTAGACCATTTTTGTTGGTGTCTATGCATACACCAGCTCGAGTAGGGTGCATTTGTGAGTTGAAGGACTGGAGATTGGGGACAATGAATTCCCCTAGTCGCACCGCTGTGAAGACGGTGGTAGTCAAACATGCATAGACAACTATGCTTAGAGGCACAGACATGTCTTATTGTTGTCTGGTGGTGGTGATGGTTTTGATAGTGAACAGTTGGCAAGATGGCCATTTGGTGGTGGGTGGTTTAAGGGCAAGGGCTGCTGCCATTAGTGAAGCGGGCTTGTGTTTGTTAATGAACCATGGCAGTCTATGCAGTATGTGCCAGGCTCAAATTCCTGCTACATAATTGTTTATGGTTTTGTTTGAATATATACTCCAGCCATGCTAGAAATCAAAGCCAACATGAGCTGTGGATAAGCTGGGGTGTATTCATTTTTGGGTATGTTCCTCATGTCACAAAAAGTGTAAAAAATAAGGAGTCCTGAGCCATATGTTTCTTGCATTGATGCCGCCCAGGCGCTATGCAAGACAGCTTCAGTTTGATTGAGGTCAGAGTTGGATAGGCCTGAGGGGGTGTTCAAATTGATTGAACATGATCGTGTCGGTCGCTATAGTCGGAGTCAATCTCAGGCTGGGCAAGGTGGATGGAGTATGGTGGGTTTGGAATCAAAGGAGTCGTTGTTTGTAGGTAGGTTGCTTGGGGTTGATGTGGGTTGTCGGGTGATGAGAAGTAGTTGTGGTGGTCTGTTCAGAGCGGGTGGGCGGATGAGGTGTGGTGTTGAAGTCATTTTTGAGGAGAGTGTGGTGGTTATGTTAGAAGGTGGGAGGGAACAAAGGGTTAAAGGAGAGACATCAAAGGGGAGGGCCTCTTTGAAGGAATCCAGGATAGTCTTGAACAAGTCAATTGATTGGAGTCGGGATGTGGATGGGGGGAAGCGAGAGGTTGGGGGAGGCAAAAATGCCTTTTGATGGGGGATCGGCTGCATTGTTTTTGTAAAGGACATGTGTTGTGTGTATAGTGCATTGGTGGGATGTGGCGAGGATATGTATGTGGCAAAGTATGTTATTGATGGAAGTACTGTGGTTTGATCCCTTCCACCATCCTTGTATAATGCCAATGTTGTCACCTTTGATGCAGATATGTGCTCTTTGAGGGATTGTTGGTAGGAGAAATATAATGAGAAGTTCAAAAGTGATGGCTTCGGCCCTTCCAATGTTTCAACTGTCTGATTGCCATCATGGATTGAGTTGCCAAGTGTGCCAGCAGTTTCTGATGGTGATGCCAATGGCAATGCATTTTGTTGGCAAGTTGTTGTATCCACCAATGTAGGCCGTCTTGGGTGTGCTTTGGTGGGGTCCTGTGTCGTTTAGGATGGTACACCATGTATCTGGTTTATATGGTGTTAGCGCCTTTGTTTTTCTGTTGGCAAGGGCATTAGTGAGCTCCATGATATTTGGAGCCGAGCATTCATGACGCCAATTGTGATTGGTAATTTTGAATCTGACTGGATGTTGCCAGTTGATGCATATGATGTGTCCGGTTGGTCCTTGGAGAAGACCTTTTTCTCCTCTGGAGCAATGTGCTGGTGAACCATCCCAGCAGGTGGTTTTGTTACATTTGCGGACATTGTGCATGTCTGTTCCAAGGCAGAATGCGCAAATGGTTGGTGCACTAAGTTCTGTTGTTTGATGAAAGGATGCTGAATTCTTTGGACTACCACTGGCAGTCCTTCCAAGTTTACTACTACAAGAGATTCACCAGGCATAACCCAGAAACTTTCTGATCTGGACTCAGACTTTTCTGGTTCTGGGCACTTATAGCACTTATAGCATATGGCTAACTATATAAGCTATGATAGAGTTTGTGGCTGATTTAAAAAAATAATCACACACACAAGGTTTGAACTCTCAACCTGTTGGTCCGCTTTTTTGCTGACCAATAAATCTACAGCCACATACCACATATTTATCTACTACACCATAAAGGCTTACAAAATATACTATACATGTGTAATATATTGACCTTCTATGGACTCGTCATTTTTTTTTACACATTGTCATAATATATACTTGGATACAGCATTGCTATAAATATGTACTATGGTATTAACAGCTATATAGGCTATTAGAGCTATAAGAGCTATTATAATGCCTTAGCTAGCTATATAACATTATACTAGTGCTATGTGTGCTCAAACTTATAGTACTATGAGAGCTATAGTAGTATTTATAGTAATGTCTCTGCTATATAGTACTATTAGAGCTATAATAGTATTAATAGTATAAATAGCCTCTGCTATATTACCAAAGTGTTTTTTCTGATGCTATAGTACTATAAGAGCTATAATAGCATAGATAGTATTGCCTCTGCTATATAGCCAAAGTGTTTTTTCTGATGTATAGCATTTTAAATTTTGCGTCTATAATACTATTATTGCTTTTGTTGCTCCCATTGCTCTTATTGCTCATATAATACTATAGTCACTATAATCATACTATAGTTGCTCTTATAGTGCTATAAGTGCTATAGGTGCTATAATAGTCATTATTTGCACGTATATATAAACCCCTCTGCTATATAGCAAAAGGCTTTTTCCTGATGTATCTAATACAACTGAACAAAGCTGGCACATGCTAGTAGAATCTAATGCAGGTTGAAAACAGATTAACTTGAATGCAGGAGATGTAGAGTTACACTGTCACAGTGTACAATGTAAGTGTTCTTCCAAATTATGGCGTGCATCCGGCTGACCAACCTGCATTTTTGAGAAGATAACCACCAGCTAATTTGAACCTTGCCCTGACCCAGTGCATCGGCACCAGTAGGAATTCACCATTTATGACTCAGAGCACCTTCATCTTGGATAAACAGTTGTATGGCATATCAACAGGTCTTCCATGAGTATATATTGTGATGTGGTTTTGAATGATTTATCATTCCCCACAGCCCTTACTACTTTTCAAAGACTTACTTACATTGGACTCTCAGTACTGTATACCTCTCATACTCTCTAATAATAAAGTTACTTACATCAGACTCTAGTTTCTAGTCCCTAATTGCTCTCAGAAAGTGGCTAGACACTTCCTTTAAGCTTTGTTTTTAATAAGTTCTCGATGCATTAGCACATGTTGTACACTCTTTGGATCTTTTGGGTTTGTACATGAATCTTGTAGGAACAGGAAAAATGGGAATCAAATTATGATCTATACCTGGTAGGTATGTAGTTCTTTTGTCCCTAGGTACTTACAAAAGATCAATAATGCTGGCTCATCATTAACTGAGGTTCTTTTATCTCTAGATATTAAAACTAACCGGTGTCTAGACTCACCACATGACCAGTCATATGCTATAACTGTTGGAATAGTGAAGGTCAAAGCCTGTTAGCCTTGTTAGATGACATACATTATAAGTTGAAATTATTACAAGGGCTGGTAGCTCAGTTAGTCAGAGCACCACCATATATAAGCAGAGGTCCTGGGTTCAATCCCCGGCTGGTCCACTTTGCTTTTATGCACTCCCTGTGATCAGGTGCCTATGTGAGGTCACATGGCTAAATCCAATGATAATATCATATAGAATACAATGGAATACTATAAATTATTTACCTTTATTTATGTTAACTGTACAGTACCATATGTATTTAGGTATATATACCCTTTCAATAAATAGAGGCTCCTCAGTGAGTCCTTCTGTTGTATAATAATAACAAACTTGTTCCTACTACCTTGAGTCTACCAACTCTATATTCCCTATCATCACCACTCCCCTGAGTTACTGTGTACATCAGAGTCAACAAACTTTGGGTATTATTACAAACAGTGATTGAATACGGACCTCTTGCTCATCCTTTGATTAATATTTGGCAAAATCAGAATGGCTTCACTAACACTGTGAGCCACAGCCAAGCACTGAGAATCCTTGGTCCTATTGATGATAGCAGCAAGATATCTACAGAAAATGTGAGTGTGAGCCGGTACAAACTGATTTAAAGCTGAGTTGTGCTCACCTTATAATGAAGTGAAATATGTCCTGGCAAACTTGCGTGTCTGGTGTTGATTTTCTTGACTGCACTATATACATGACAATAGTTGCCAACTATAATTATTGTCAGAAAAGGTTGATTCAATTCTTGGTAGAAACACTTCAAACCATCAAGTAGTTCCTCTATTTTGGCATTTGCTTGAGTTTGGCAAAGTTTTTACTCAGTCGCACATTAGCAAAAGGACTGGTATCATCAAACTAACACTTACCTGGCACAATATTCCATTGTCCTCATTTATTGTGGTGGGTTTCCTCCCTTTATAAATCTTGTCCTCACCTTTTGCTTGTCAGCCACTGTGGCCTTACCTGCAGCTTTGAATGTGTTGTCAAACAGAATGCAGGCTCCTGATCCCTGCATCAAGGTCCACCTACAACTCTGAAAAAACAAGTGCCAGGACTTAGCAGATAAGGTGGACATCAAGACTTTAACCTTTATTTACGACTGTACAATACCTCATGTATTGTAGTATATATATCTGAGCAATACATGGGGAAGGACTCAGCAAGTCCTCTCCTAATGTATACCAGCATTAGTGAAGACAACCTCCTTCTCTTAATGAGTTGTACACTTCCTTTCCTACCATTGAATTGTTGTTGTTGCTGTGCTCCAGTGCCCTAAGATTGTATCTTGTTGGTGTTGCCACACTAGTTTAGAGAGACAATAGAGAGGAAGGATTAGGAGTGCCCTAGAAAACCCTCCCATGTTCAATGGGGACCAGACCAAGTTTTGAAACTTTATGGAGTATGTATCACTCCACTTTGAAGAAGACCCAGTATACCCATCAGGAAAAACTCTTTTGCTATGTAGTTGTCAGAACCGTGACCTTCAGAATGATTAGAGTTTGGAGTACAATGGGGTGGGGGAACAATGGCTGCTTTAAGGAGATCAAGCAAGTGAATAGAATAAAGACATACACCTAGAATAGCTAAGAAATGGTCAGAAGATTTGTGACCTATTCTACCTTGGATTGCCAAATAGTCAAGTCGCCAGTTTGTTTCTGATGCAAATAGAAAGAACCTAATATCCTGTGGTCCAGAGGCAACTGGGAAATTATTATCCATATCCACATCCCCATAGTAATCCTTGCTTCTCCAAGTTGCCATCCTGCTGGGTTGGGATCAATTTACCCTTGTGGTACCCAGCACAGCTTTTTGTACAGCCAAGGTGCATATTGAGGGCATGGGTGAGGAGCATCACATTTGACAGGTATTTTGTTGGGCTGAAGAATAACAAATGGCAAATGCTACAGAAAACCCAAATTTACAGATATCAAATAAGGTCATATTATAAATACATGATTCTTTAGTATTACTTATACAAGGGCACTGTGGATCTGCAATATCAGAAGCAAAGAATAAAGGCAAGGCATCATGCTGGCATTTGAGAGAATGAGACAAGACAAGAGCAAGAGCAGGAAGGCCTTGCTCTTGACACCATCAACGACCACCTCAGCCCCATCACCCACCCACATCTCACACCAGCGCAGCAACACTACATTCCATGCCCACACCGCTAATGCAAATGCAAGACGGAGGGCTAGCAAGATGTCAACACTGATGTCATGGCCCTACCCCACTCTATCTTCCTACCACTATCACCACCACTGCGTGCAACAATAACCCCCCATGTACACACTGCAAATGCAGACACACAATGACAATAGGAGGAAACACTAGGTGAAGGGGCAAAAGGAGAGAGGAACAAGGAAGAGAGAGCAAAAAGCCAGTGCAACGGGGCAAGGACCTTGTCACAAGTCCCACCACTTCCGCCGCCACTGCCTCCAACCACCACCCATCACATATACCCTGCAAAAGTGGATAAACAACAAAAGGGGAAGGAGGCAGAAGGCAAGCAAGCAGAGGGGTTGAGTGCACCCAAACATGTCACCCCACTACAACCACCACACAGCCACCTATGCAAAAATAGGACCCAGACCCACTTTGCTACAGTGAACCTGCATTTATTTCCCACACCCCTGGACCTCTGTATATTTACCACATACATACCTACTAATGATACCATATTATCCTTCATCCTTCAGACCATTCATACATAATTTCCTCATTTTCCACCCTTTTCTCTCTCATTTTTAGACTATCATAATGCCACTCCCCATCAGCACATACTACTACTACCACTTTTTCATGATCCTCTCTTCTAGACAAAGCATCCGCTTTTCCCATAGAAGTATCAGGTTTATGAATTAATTTATAATTAAACCTACACAAGTATACCGCATAGCGGGCCTTTCTTTGTTTCAAGTCCTGAGCCCTCATCAAATACTCCAGATTTTTATGATCAGTCCAGATATCAAATTAGTGTCTAGCACCTTTGAAGTAGTGCTGCCAGTGCTCTGAAGCTCAAATGATAGACAGCATTTTTTTGTCATAAATTTGATAGTTGCACTCTGGTGGCGACAAACTATGTGATAAATAGGCACAAGGCCTCCAAAGGTCATCACGGCATTTAACTGATAGAACAGCCCCAGTAGCAAAATCAGAAGAGCCGGTTTCTAGCTGGAACTCTTTGTCTAATTCTGGAAATGCTAATATGGGCGCTGCTGTAAATGCCTGTTTAAGCTTATCAAAAGCTTCTTGTTCCCTGGCACCCCAATGTCAAACAAGGTCATTTTGTGTGAGATTGTTCAATGGTCATATTATCTTTGCAAAGTTTTCAACAATTCTTTGGTAGAAGTTGCCTAAGCCTAGAAAGGCCCTAACTCCTTTGACACAAAAAGGTGCTGGCCAATCCAAAATAGTTGAACCGGCCAGAATATTGAGCTAATTGTCTAATTTTTTGTTTTTAATTGGTGTGCCTAGCGTCTCCCCAGGAGTATGGCCCTTGTGAGACAAATACTAGGGTGCTTGATTCTGGTAAAAATAAAAATAAAAATATAGAAAATCCCAAAATAGAAAAACATGTTTCTTCCAATATTTCTTCTTCTTCTTCTTCTCCGGGGCCACTTTCTACTGAAAGCCGAAAGCATGTGTTGATGTGCACACATTTATTCCAAAAAAATATCTGTTTAGACCTTGGTGTTGAAGACTTGGCCCAAGGCACAGTACACCCAACAAGTGCACTACTGGATTCAGGTGCTAATGGTATCTTTATAGATCAGCTCTGGGAGGAGCTGAATGGACTCCCCTTTGTAAAATTAGATATGTCTATTCCCGTCTATAATGTTGATGGTACACTTAATGCGGGTGGCTGCATTATGCACAAATGTTCTTTTGTCATTAAGTACCAAGGACACAGGGAATGAGTCACCACTGAAGCTACCCAACTAGGGAAGTTTTAATTCATCTTAGGCTGGACCTGGCTATTTAAACACAATCCTGAGATCAACTGGCAGATAGGTGTTGTCACATTGTCTCATTGCCCTCAGGAGTGTAATGACTTAGGTAAACCAAATCATGTCCGTCAAACTGAGCGTGATGAAAGGATAAGTGCTGGTCATATTATTAAGAACAAGACTTAAAGGAACTGTCTAGCCACTTGCTGAGAGCAATCAAGGATTGGAAAATAGAGTCTAATGTGATTAACTAGAGAATAGAAGACATTGGACTCTGCAGTACTGTCCAAAGTTTTGTAAACAAAGGTGAACAAAGCAGCCACAGAGGCAGGATCATAGAGAACACAATCAATACTGGATGGTAGAGGAATAGATAAAGATGTGTAGATAGCACAAAGGTGCAGAATCACCAAAACTAACATATGTTTATGCCAAACTCAGATCTTTAGATAAGGTTGACAATAACAATGATAAGGTCAAACCCGAGGAAGAGATTAAGAGGCTGGTACCTCCAGAATACCATGACTTCTGGAAAGTCTTTTCAAAAGATAAATCAGAATGCTCCCAGAGGCTAAGCTTTGGGACCTTTTGATAAACTTGAAGGACACCTTCAAACCACAAAAAGGACACATAATTCCCCTCTCTGCTCCAGAAAGAGATGGAGTTTTTAGTTTCATAGACAAAAAGTTAAGGAAAGGTTACATTAGACCTTTCAAGAGCCCTATGACATCCCTGGTGTTCTTTATCCCTAAAAAGGATAACAAAAAGCATATGAAAATGGACTATCATTACCTAAATGAGTACATGGTTAAAAATGTGTATCCACTACTTTTGATCAGTCAGCTAGTAGACAAGTTGGCTGGTGCCAAGATCTTAACAAAGATGCATCTCAGATGGGGGTACAATAGTGTATGCATCAAAGAAGAAGATGCTTGGAAGGCAACATTCACATGCCACCAAGGGTCCTTTGGACTCCTTGTTATATTCTTTGGGTTGACCAATTCACCAGCAACCTTCCAGAGCATGATGAATGGGATCTTTGCAGATATGGAAAATTGTGTTGTCATTTACATTGACAATTTATTAATATTTATAAAGTTGGACAATGAGGCTGAGCATGATAGGATTGTGCAAGAATTCCTTTGATGCTTACAGGAACAGGACCTATTCATCAAACCCAAAAAATGTAATTTTAAAGTGAAAAAGTAGAGTTCTCCATTATGATAATAGACCAAAACAGAATCAGGATGGACAATGAGAAAGTTCAAGCTATTTTGGATTGGCCAGTACCTTCTTGTGTCAAAGGAGTTAGGGCCTTTCTAGGCTTAGGCAACTTCTACCAAAGAATTGTTGAAAACTTTGCAAAGATAATATGACCATTGAACAATCTCACACAAAATGACCTTGTTTGACATTGGGGTGCCAGGGAACAAGAAGCTTTTGATAAGCTTAAACAGGCATTTACAGCAGCGCCCATATTAGCATTTCCAGAATTAGACAAAGAGTTCCAGCTAGAAACCGGCTCTTCTGATTTTGCTACTGGGGCTGTTCTATCAGTTAAATGCCGTGATGACCTTTGGAGGCCTTGTGTCTATTTATCACATAGTTTGTCGCCACCAGAGTGCAACTATCAAATTTATGACAAAAAGATGCTGGTCATCATTAGTGTTACAATACACAATTTTTGGACTTACAATTTTCTTTCTCCGTTCTAACTTTCTTTCTCAAGAGTTTGCACGCACTTGTGCCACGCAGCACTTTCCTTTTGTTCAGGCTTTCACTTTCTCTCACCACGCTGTTTTTTCTTATTGTTAGCTACAATTCTCTCACGCAGTGGAGCTGGCCACACAGGCTGCGCCTTATGACATCATCAGCTACTGCCTTATCAGCTGCATAGTACAATACGTAAAAATAACCTGTAGTAGTATAAATACCCCAAGTCATCACACTCCTAAGGGCAACATGATAAAGTGATAACCCCTGTCTGCCAGTTGATCTCAGGATTGTGTTTAAATAGCCAGGTCCAGCCTAAGATTAAATTAATCTTCCCTAGTTGGGTAGCTTCAGCGGTGACCCATTCTCTGTGTCCTTGGTACTCGACAACAAAAGAACATTTGTGCATAATGCAGCCACGCACGTTAAGTGTACCATCAATTTTATATATGGGAATAGATACATTTAATTTTATATACGGGATAGATACATTTAATTTTACAAGGGGGAGTCCAATTTGCTCCGCCAGACCTGATCTATGAAGATGCTATTAGTGCCTGAACCAAGCAGCGCACTGGTTGGGTGCACTATGCCCCGGGCAAGGTCTTCCACTCCAACATCTAAACAGATCTCTCTTTGGAATAAATATATGCACATCAACACACACCTTGGGATTTGGTTGGAAAGTGGCTCCGGAGAAAAAGAAGAAAAAATATCAAGAGAAACATATTTTTCTAACTTAGTAGTTTCTATATTTTTATTCTAATTGGCACATCTGACGCCCTTGGTTATTTTTTTGTTGGGCGACCTGCATTACACTTCTACAGTCTCGGGACATGTGTCTCTCTTGGCCATAGTTGTAACAGTTGCCCTTGAATCTGCGCATCTCTCCGCCTTGGACCACACCGATATCCATAAGAGCACCCTGTCCTGGCTGCAGCCCAAACAGCTTGAACCCGTGAGGACGATGATTATTCTGGTTTGATGACCCAGGGCGCCTCTGGGAATAGTTGTTTTTGGTGGTGGACCCGCAACCAAATTGCATTTGGTAGAGCTCAATGGCCCTACCTACTTTGCAAACCTCTTCTGCCACTTGCAAGAGGTTCTTGTTTCCCATATCCTGCAGATAAAGCTGATCTGCAATGCAGGGGTTCACATTGCGTTCTAGCAGCTCTACTGCATGTTCATTACCTACACCCCCTTAGATGGAGAGGGCCAGGAACTGGGTTACATAATCATCTGTCCTCCTATTTCCTTGTTTGAAGGAACAGATTTGCTAACGCACCCAGTCACACTCAGCTTGGGGTTTAAGATAAATCTTTTGATCTCCCCCTTGAGATCGTCCCAGGTAGGCCAGTGATTGGCCGTATAGCACTCCTGTAGTTGTACTTGAGCGTATCAACCCACCACAGGTTCTTTGAGTCTTGACAGCACAACTGTTGCTATTTCAATATTATCAACAAACATGTACCAGTTTGCCTTGATCCAAATTTGGAGCTTGATCCACCATTCGGCAAATCAAGCCCAATCTCCTTCAAAAGTGTTGGAGTCTACAACAATCTCCACTTTATTGTTGAATTTCTGCTCAACTGCTTCAGGGGGGTTTGTCTGAATCTCGGCAAGCTGTGAGGTCAACTCCAAAATCTGTGCACGCATATTGTGCAATAGCGAGTTGACGTTGGGTTGGCTGCTTTGCAACAACATGTTGACTTGTTCTCTTTATAAACATAAAAAACACGTAACTAGGGGTCCCCGCTTGTTATCTGCAGATCTACCTCTTCCCAACTGAGTAACAGGTCTCAATCCCTGACTACCCACACTATAGTATTTGAAAGTTATATAAAATGTAAACATGGTGGACAAAGTCTTTCAATGATGCAGCTCCCAAGTTCCTTATACATAGTAGTTGGACGCCTCTGAGGCTTTCTGCCTAGGCCTGGATTGTACTGTGATTGTGGGCACAGGTGCAGGCAAGTCACTGCCTTTCATTATCCCATCTTTCATTCATAAAAACTGCCTAACTGTTGTTATGTTACCACTGAAAGCTTTAGAAGAAGAACAGGTACGCTACCTTTGATTTCTTACTATATGACTTTGTCTCACATCAAACTAATTTGCAGTGGTTCCTTCATTGGGGAGTTTTTTGTCAGCAGTTGTGATTCAGCAATAAGCAAGGGCAGTGTTGTTAACACATGCACAGGGATCAGACATACCTGATATTGCGTTTCTGTGTGAGTGGCTGTGCAGATTTGTAATCAAGGAATCAGGAATCTGGTGAAGTTCTATCTATGGTTGTTGTATCCTAACACAATCACATCAAACTGCCGGTGGAAAAGTGTTGAGGAGATGCATGCTGAGCTGCCATCTGCATGGCTGTTTCTGGATTGATATAGAGAGGAGATAGTTGAGTCGATGGTGGGTGTGGATGAAAAATATATGGAGCAGTGTAAGGCTGCTATGGTGGGAAAAAGGCAAGCGGAAAGGCAGGCTACTGATGCAGTCCAAAAGCCCCACACAAATGAGGAGGGCCAGGTGAAAAAAAGTAGAGACACAAACACCTCGCACTAGTCAGAAGGAGAATGTGCTATTACCTGGCCTTTCTCAGTGGGTTGTTCCTTTATGTGTACATTGTATCATTTCTTATAGCATCTGCAGGTTCCAGCTTAAGCTAGAGTTAACTATGCAGCTTGAAGCCTCGCCTCACACTGTGCCGCACTCCTATACCAACTGGAAAGCCACTCCAACCACATGCACTCCCATTGCTGATCCCTCTCTATTCACACCACTTTGTCCTACAAGTTTGCTGCCCACTCACACTTCACAGGATCAATTGCCAACTTTTGGACGACACTGGAACTGGAAGCAAAAATGCTTGTGAGTGTGCTGGATGTGTTTGAATGTAGCTACTATATCTTGGTTGTTGGTAGAATTAATATATCTTAGTCTCCTCAATGTCGCTGTTACTGAGCTCCCACCAACACACCCTATTCCTCTAGGTCTTACTCTTAACTTTTCTGTATTCTACTGATGGTATTACTGAACTCAATCCTCCCTCGGAGGAGCATTACAAGGATTTAACACTTAGACAAGTTCTTGCTTTGGACCTCAAACATGCAAAACTCTGGTATGTAAAAACTGGTGTTCATTGCCTTACAATCACACATTTGGTAGGTACATTTATCTACCATGTTTCCTCTGTAGCTCGTATATAGTCCCAATTGTTCCACCATTTGCAGATTGTTTTGTTAGTAAGAAGGTTGAGGGCGCTATTTGTAACAAAGTCTTGAATTTTGTCTGTGCTTGTTTTTATGTTGTGTCCCTCCTTTTCAATGGGAATTTGAGAGGTGGTGTAAGCGCTGGACAGCCGCTTGAGATCCTTCTCTTTGCTGAGCTTGGTGTGAAAAATACCCTAATGTAGCGGCTGGATTTGTTTTTCAAGATGTTTGCAAATGGCTTGCATGGTTGGGAGAGCTGGAGTGTGTTGCTTCATGAGCAATAATATCCTATGGACTCTGTGAGTAGCAAATGTCACCTGCCTTGCAATTAGAAACATAAGGGAGGTAGTTTTATTTGCTCACTTTGGATGCCTTGATGTTGTACTCCTGGCCCTTGTTGATAGGTAGGAATGTGTGTGGGTTCTGTTGTCGCATATCTATCCAAGTTAATAAGGTTTGAGCCTCATGCACTATTGCTCTCTACCACCACTGGAAGTGGTGGCTGAGAGCCATTTTCCTATCGGACATCAAACTACTATAGAAATTCTTGATTCACGCTTTCTGGATACCTCAGTCCACGTACAAAAGACTGAGGTAAGTTTAGACATACATACATATTCCTATATTTGCTGAAGCTACTACCTAGTATCACCTTGTAACAGGTAATAGCTGAATATAAAGTCCTCATACAAGAGACTGAGTATTGCTTTGTAACAGATACAATTAACAGGTTCCTGGTGGTATTCATCAACCAGCAACACTCCATCACAAAGTCTGAAGGCCTTTTCTTTCAAGCAAGGTAAAGACGTGCATAAGTCCTTGGCCTGTGGTTGTGCCTAGATATTGCTTGTGTAACAAGTTGGCGAAGGCCATTTGTAGATAAATCCACCCAAGGATTGGGATGATCTAATACATTTGGTCAAAGGAGTTGTGGTCATGTGTGCAGAATTAATAGAGGGCCTGCAGGCATTCAACAATTAGCTGATTGCCAACCCATGGTATGACTCTCTCTAGTCCTGTCTTCTGCTGCTGCTCATCCCAATGTAAGCCAAGCTGTTTAAGCCATTCTACCAGAAGCTTGTTGTTGCCATCATAACTGGCCTCCTCTATATAAACAGTACCAAGCATATACTGTTCTGTAATAAAAGCCGGTCCAGTTGGAAGCTGACATACTGGAGGTGGTGTGCCAAAAATGGTCATTGTGTTGTTTATAGAGTTGGAGTTGGTGTATATTTCCTCAACATTCAATGGAGTCTTATGTCTTGCTGCCCTGTATTCTTGCAGTGTGCAATTGCACAGAGGCCTAATGGGAGGTGCGTTGGGCTGGAAAAAAACCGTAGCAGCAGTCCCACTATCAAAGTGGTTCTGGTTATCAATCCTTTGGGAGTAGACACAAAACAAGATGTTAAGATTGTCATATGAAATGATGAAAGGCATCTTCCTCACAAGCTCTTGTACCTTATCCATCTGATTCAACAATATAGCAGTGAAAGCACAAACAGACTATTTGTGGCTCATTGTGACACACAGACTACGGAGTAGGTCCAAGCTTTTGGCTGAAATGCCTTGAAAATGGAGGAATACAATGAGTAATTTGGCCCAGCGGTTGTGATTGGTGAGAGCGCAAGTACAGGATTTGAAAGATAATGGAAATGATGACCTAAGGTTAATAAGACAACAATGCTTTGAATGCAATGCAGAAGCACAACTCACCAGATCACTATTTGGTTTGACATTTTGCTTTTCTTGGGACTTGGTGATAGTCATGTGTCATATAAACTTCCAAAGATATGGAGTACCTCCAAACCCTGCACTTTGGAGCTTTAAGATAAGGTCTTCAATCAAAATACCAGTAAGTCCCTCCTCAGAGACGTCTTCCGGTGAACATCTGGCTAAATCCTCTATGCCTCTCAGCTTTTCATCTAATCCATTGCTAACATAGTCAAACGCAAAGTCTTGCAGGACTGTCCTGGAGCCACTCACACGTACATGGTGGGTGTCCTTGGGTCAGGGTGTTTCGTGCCAGCACCTGATGATATTTGGAAGTTCATCACTGACTATTAATGCAGTGTGCTTGTAAGAAATCTTGGCATCAAGTGTGCATTCATGATTGCCCCAGCTTAAGAAATTGAGGAATATGTGCAGGTTGAGCCCTAAGGAATTTATATAAGCCAGGACAGCTCAAACCTTGAAAGCAGGATTGCCAGTAAATTTGTTCTTGAGACGCGTTGTGTACTGGTTTTGTATCAGTGTGGGATGAATATCTTCATATTCACTGTCAGTTGAGACATAAGTAGGGGTTTCTATTCTACCATGCCAGTATATATGAACAATGATAGGATTGGCTTGATCATCAAATTCTCCGTCCATGTTCATCTCATCCATGGCCAGATTGGTGTTGAGGTAAGAGATAGGATAACAGTGCTTTTTTAATCTACTTACATGGCATTGGCAACTCGGCAGTAACAGGTGTGACACGATATGATGCCCTCTATCAAATGTCTCCAGACTACAGTCACCCTTGTCTTCACCCAGCCACTTGCCAAGTCAGACAGAGCTTCCTCTTTTTGCTGATAATCTATCTCAGTGCATTAGCCATCCAGTTTTGCAGGTTGTATTGTTGTCTGTTCCTCCTAACTCAGGCTCTCATTCCACTTTACACCCTCTATCCCCTCCCATTCCACTGTTGCACACTCTGCAGCTGTTAGTGAGAGTTTCTACCTCTTTTTTGACTTGGCTACATTGCTCAATGCATTTTCCCTCAATTTTTTCCTGTTTTTTGCAGACATTACTCTCTGCCTGGTGTCAAGAGTGATGTTATGGAAGATCCTAAGTCTTTTGCTTTGTATGTCATCACTTACCATTTTTGATAGACATTCAAGTTTTGTAATGTTTACACCAATAGAAGTATTTATCCTTATTAACTTTGGCCAAATGGACAACTTGTAGTTGTTCAGTTTCTCAGTATCTCCCAGTTTATAACTATCAACAAACACTCAACAGCTGCAGACTTAATGGTGATTGCTACTGCGCATGGTATTTGTGTGGCAAGATACCAGTGAAGACTATTGTGCTTTGACACCTGCTTACTAGGCTTTTGACTCCACCTGTTCCCACTTACTGTAACAACTAAAGTTTGTATACTCTGGCACACAACAAGAATAGGCAAAGAGGGGTGAGTGGAGGAGAGGATATTCTCCCTTAATGTAGGACCAAGTTTGTTGTGGGTAAACAACAGGAGGACTTGCTGAGGAGTCTCCTGGATCTATTGGGGTTATTATACTACTACAGGTTTGTTTGTACATGTTTTACTATAAATTTGATAAAGCAGTGGCTGATGATATCAAAGAGTGCAGCCCATGTCCAGCTCCACTGCATGAGAAATTTGTATCTAAAAATAAGGAAAGACAGAGAAAGTTTGAACAAAAGAAAAGTGCTGCATGGCACAATTGTGTGAAAACTATGAAAGAAAGTTAAAGAGGAGAAAGAAAATTGAATGTCCAAAAATTGTGTATTGTAACACTTACTTGGCTTCATTTTTGAAGAATTAAAAAAAGACCGTTGTCATGCCAATTGGGGGCATCTTCACATTCTCAAAGAAGTTTAGGACAATCAGTGGCATTGAAAGAGCAGCAGGACAAAAATCAAAGACATTGCAGGGCAGCATGTTCTCAACTGACAGAGGTAGTGGTAGATTCCGGCTTCCCTCATATTGTCTCCTCCTTCAATAAATGCAACATAAATGTGGAGTGGGAGACAACTGAGACTGTGTTGTACTCCATGCAAATGCCCTGCAATTTTAAATCTCTTCTCTGAAAAAGAAACTGGATTCAGAGGTGATCCTATGGCTGTAACAATCAAGACTTAAATACTCTGGCACATAACTCCGATAAGCAGATATAGGTGAGGGAAGGGGTGGATAAACTCCTTTAGGGTAGGACCGAGTTGTTGGTAGACAACAGGAGGACTCACTAAAGAGTCTCCTTGATCTATTGGGGTATATATACTACTGCAGGTTGTTTGTACATATATACTATGAAGTTGATAAATGTGGTGGCTGATGATGTTATAGGGTGCAGCCCTTGTGATCAGCTCCACTATGTGAGAGAGTTGTCAATAAAAATACAACATGCAGGTGCTGTGTGGCACAAAAAAGTGAAAGTACAATAGGAGTTTGAAAACAAAAGCAAAGTGCTGCATGGCACAAGTGTCTGAAAATTATGATGAAAGTTGAAGGGGAGAATGAAAGGTGAAAGTCCAAAAGTTGTGTGATACAATGTGCTTGGGGTCATTGTCTTATTTAAAGATGATGTTAGGAAGGTTGAGACTATAATACCCCAAGGCTTGCTAGAACTCATCCTTCAAAATCTGAAGGTAAAGGTCCCTATCCATCCTACCATCAACCTTGGTAGCAAATCCAACCCCTTTCCAAGTGTTATTTTGAGGGGCAGGGATCTGACCATGATGGTGGTTAAAAATCAAGAAGTGTGTGAACATTTTTGGGCTCAGAAATACTATATATATATATATCTTTGTTTATACTAACACATCCTGGCAAATATTCATTGTTTTAACTAAAATTCTAGTCATCAGGTCAAAAGTGAAAAAACCCTTTCCATGGTCTTGTTGTTTTAAATTCACCATATTCCCATAGCATATGAATGAAAACACATGACCTAGATGTTAATTGCATAGCCAAGAGTATGTATTATTTATAACTTCATCCAAGCTAAGTGCAATTTGCAAGCTATTTGATGGTAAACATCATGTACAACATTTAGTGTAACAACCAAAGTTTTGATACTCTGGTGCATAACTCAGATAGGCAAATGTGAGGGAATAGGAGTGGATAAACCCCTTAGTGGTAGGACTGAGTTAGTTGCGGGTAAAATAACAGGAGGACTCGCTGAGTAGTCTCCTGGATCTATTGAGGTTTATATACTAATACAGAGTATTTGTACTTGTATACTAGACAGTTGATGAAAGCAGTGGCTGATGATGTCATAGGGTGCAGCCCATGTGACTAGCTCCACTGGGTGAGAGACTTGTATCCAAAAATAAATAAAAGTAGTGCGGCGCAAGAAAGTAAAGTTTGAACAAAAAGGAAAGTGCCGCATGGCATAGCATGTGAACACTGAGACTAAAAGTTTAAAGTGGAGAATGAAAGTTAAAGGTCCAAAAATTGTGTGGTGTAACATTTAGAGTCAGCATGAAAAGGGTTTTTGGAGTCACTGTATACCTAGTTCTATCAAAAAGGAAAAAAGAGTCATAGAGTTTTCATTGTCATCTTCCCCACTCTGCCTCAACAGTCACTAGGGGCAAAATTGTATGTTTTATAATAAAATATTTGAAAAACACTTGAAAAATAGAAATTTGGGGAAAATATACAAACTGTATTGTTGCAAAACATTGGTGATTAGTACTGTGTCTGCACTGAGTGGAAAAGTATTTTGTGACAATATATTTTGAATGTTTTCCCTAATATTTCATAAGAAAATATGTGAGCAAAATATCTCCATTGTTATATAGAGAAACATGCTAAGAAATAAAGTCTCTGTTTTTCAAGTGCTTTCCCAATGTCTTAATATAAAACGTGGGATTTTTTCCCCAGTGAGTACCTCAAGTTTCCAGGCATTTAGTCAGAAGTTTGCACCAGTTTCTCAGCTACCTCACATTGTTGCACTTTCTGATAAGGACTTGATTCTGCGAAGGCATTCTTTTTTTACAGAATCCCAAGATACAAATCCATACACCAACAAATACACCATTCCCTTGCCCAGATTTGAAATACACACCCCCTTTATTTGCATTGCAGTTTCTGTAGCCTTTTCCAAAAGTTGGCACCTCACAATACCTAGCAACATAATCAATAAGGCAGGACATTGGTTATAGCATCCAAAATAATAATTTACTGAGCACCCAACATATCCAACCCTTTAGTACTATCTAAGATTTGTAAAAGGTGAATAAAAACAGACTTCTACTCTCCCAACTCACTTTCATGCATCAGATTGACCATTACTATTGAGTAAATATTAACGCCTAGTTGCTCAAGCTTTTCCAAAAAAATCATTCTATTTACACAGATGATAGCAAGAAAATAGATGGTATACAATGACTTACTATGATGATATTTTGACTCATTACCTGTACCTTACCCCCACATGGTACTCTGGGTATCCACTCTGACTTTTTTGCCCCAGACTTCTAGTCCACCATATATTTTTTCTGCATATTCTCTCATTCTTCATGGACTCTGTAGTTTAGACATTATGGTACACTCCCTTCACATATGATTTCCCCTTGCTAGATAATTGTCTGCATGGGGCTCTGTACCTATATTACTCCTTACTCCTTACAAACTCCAAACCCTCTAATAGTATATAAGCTGTAGCTCCTGTACTCTGTTCCTGCAGTTCAAATATCCACTAGTTCCTCCACCTTGTATCCAAGTCTTCTTCTAATTCTTCTGGTCCTTCTCCAAAGGACCATTACTCCTCTCCACGGTTCATCCTCCACTCTCACCCATTCACACTGTGAAGTTAGGGATCAAGGTCTGCGGAAGGGCCTAGCGCACAAACTAAGTTAACTCCCAACCTTGTACTTCATCCCGCTCCCCAACCCACCTCCATCCTCTGCCCTTCAATTACTCCAAAGGTCACAGTTCTAACACCTCTAGACAAAATGTTAAGAACAAAGTGTCTAGCCACTTGCTTAGAGCAATTAGGGACTGGAAACTAGAGTCCAATGTGAGTAACTTTATAATTAGAGAGTATAACAGGTATTCAGTACCTAGAGTTCAACCTGCGTCACTAGAACATAGAAAGCCTTGAACTCTGCAGTACTGTCTGATGTTTTATAAACAAAGGTAAACAAAGGAGCTGCAGAGGCAGAATAATAGAAAACACAACCAATATCAAATGATATAGGAATAGATAGGGAAAGGAATGAAAATAAGTAAAAAGCACTAAGGTGCAGAATCACCAAAACTAACACCAATTCCTGTCATAGCAATGATGCCATCTGTTACACATACATCTTTTCTCATCAGCAATAAACTCCTACAGATCCTACCTTGCTGGGGCAAACACCAAGGAACCACATACAGGCTAAAAAACAATGTTAGGTGGTTGGTGGAACATTAGAACAATTTGCCATGTAATGTATTGGCAACAACATAAAATTTATACATATATGGTCACATGACTGTACCATATGTTATAAAGCATTATTATGCAATCAAATCTTACCACATTTTTGGTTCAGCTTCAATCTCTACCAGCTTCTTGTTGTAAGTGATAATTGGTATGAACTCTATAAGAATAATGTTAAATGCTCAGTCTGTGTGTAAAAGACTGAGGCTCTAGAATGGAAATCTACAAGTT